GTTTTATTCTAGCCTTTAGGCCTCTGAAACCAAACCCCTCCTTGAATTCATCTCAGGCTTACTCTGAGGTAAGCATCTTCTTATATGAGTGAAGTTGTGCTGCCTTTTGCCATTGATTTGAAAAATAAATACAAGGTCAAAACATTAGCCTAAATGAGCAGATGTTCCCAAGCTATCAGTTCCAGCAGTAGGTTTCTGCATGTTAATTTGTAGACCTTTTATATCACCTGTATGGTGTTTGTCTGAGAAAAACTTGTATTTGTGGCCATAGTCTAAGATACATAAGTGTATATACATGAGTATTTTGGGGGTTCTGCAAGATCAAAGATCTGAAGAGCAAACTTGTGCTATATTTGCAAATTTGTCCAGCCTGGAGCCCTGTCAATTGTGTACTATTGTAACTAAGTAGGTGTGTAGTTGGAAAAAAACCCAAAGGTTCTGTGCTATAGTACTGAAGCATTATGCACTCTATCTCTAAAAATACATTCTGTGGAAAAGCTTCATAATTATTTTTTTTCAGGATATTATAGATGTTGACTCTGATCCAGAAGACACTTCTTTTGTTCCTTCTTCCAAAGGAAATCAAAGGTCAGTATGTTTGCTTCATGAATACTACCATGAGTGCCTTATTTCTGACTGGCAATCAGCAGAGTCCAGGGATTTGATCCACTACCTGAAAAAAAAGATTTTTAAGAAAGTCATAAGAAACACTACTTAGAGGATATATATAAATTTTTACTTGTTAAAGTGGGTTATCTTTCTGTAACAAAAGAATTAGTCTACTGATTCAGGTAATCTAGATCAGAACTTTAGAATTAATATGTTAGTTTGAGAATTTTTATTGTTCTACTTATTTCTATTTATTTATTTATTCTTATTATTTGTGGTCCAACTCTAAGTTGAAGGGAAAGTTATTGGAATTTCTGGTAATTGAGAACATGTTGATGCTGTGTTTTTTTTTCTCCTTGTGTGTTTCAAGGTTGTCAACTACATCTTCACTTAGTAAAAGAGGTTCACAAAGCCAAACATCTAGAGGAGTTGATTTTGAGTCAGATGAGGTATGGTATATAGTAGTATTATTTTAGTTTTATTTCCTGTAACTTTCTATAGCTTACAGCTATTTGAGTAAAGCATTTTAGAGTAAAATTGAATTTACTGTTTTTTTCACTAACAGGTCTAGATTATTGCAACCAACTTTAATTAGACTATATTCATAATTGTAAAAAATAAGGCTAGGAGGGACCTCAGGAAAATAATCCAGTCTTTTTTCCCTTCAGTTCTTAATCAGTGAATTGTCATTGCTGAAATGTGTGCCTGGATTGCCTGGGACATAAAGTAATCATAATCTCCTTTAATGCTTGGTTGTATCCTTTCATTTGTTTATGTATTTTATTCTTGTAAGAAGCAAGATTTTCTTTTTTTGCATCTAAAATGGCTATTTTCTGGGGCACGTTATTGTTTCTTGTCGCAAATTATGTAAACACACTTTTTGAAAAAAAATTAAAACACTGTCTTTTCAAGTCTAAGGTGTCTGTTCTTGCAGTACATCTTTGAACTGGTAGGAAATGGTTCCATCGATAATTAAACAAGTAGGACTTTACACACAGCTTTGCACTGAATAGAATACACATTATACTGTCAAGCACTGTGCAGTTTGTTTTCACAGACTGCCATGCCTGGTCAGGATGCATTCCTTAACAATGTCAGAGACTGACCACTTCAGAGAAGATGTTACGTTATTGTCCCTTCTCCCTATTGTGCTATTTCTTCTTCTGTCTGAAAAACTACGTTTGCAAAAAGAAACAGTATTTTTGATTCATGCAAATCTCAGTAAATTATGATGCGTGATATTATATGGACGTAATTTTATTTGGGTATGTGCTGCTCATAGTAATAACAACTGAAATATAAATTGTTTCTCATTCCAGAGTAGCTGTTCTGATCATATTGACAAAAACTTGGTTTTTATTCTCTGCACATTTGTGACCTGGACATTTTAATCAATAGATAATCTCTTTCATATCAAAACCAACAAAACCAGGTCTGTCAGGAAGCATGAAATATTGTGACCAGGCTTTCTAGTTTAACCTAAAGGTGACTTTGCTTTTTATGACTTGGAATGCATGCTAGTCCTAGTAATGCATATCTGTTTGCCAATTGCAGGATGATGCATTCATGACCCCTGCAACGTCAAGAAGAACTAAGTGATTTCTGATTCACTATGCAAGAGAGACTCTGGAAGTTGGTGAAGAAAATGGAGAGCAGTTTGCAAGGCATTCTCTATATGATATTCCTCTGTAAATGGTGGCTTGCATTCAATTTTCACTTCTATGAAATGGTTTGGTTTTTTTTTCCAGCGGCACCAAATTTGGTATCATTTCTGTGTTACACTGCTTGATGCATTAGACTAGAGGGTCTAATATTCTGAAGTACTGCCTGAAGCTGCAAGTTCTTTCTAAAACATCAAACTTTGTTTTCTTTCTGGGATGATAATAAAAATAACGGTTATATCTTTTATAGAAAACTCCATCTCTTTGGTTTGAATTTTGCAGATAAGTAAATTTACAGTTTGAAAGTATGAATATGGACACAGACTGAGTCAGCACAATGAAACTTCTACTTACTTGCAGTTTGCTACGGATGCAGTTGAAAACTCAGAAGAGTAGTAGTTGGACACAAAAATATAATTTTCAGTATTGAAACTGGAAAACATCCTAGTGCTTTCAACTCTACTAGGAGAACTAAACCAAGAATTGCACTGTTATTAGTTATAGTGTGTGGGAATAAATTCTGCCTCGTAATTCAAGAAGTACCAAGCAGGACTACTCTAATCTTATACACACATCCTAGCAAAGATTTTAGTAAAGTATAGATTATTAATAGGAATTGTGTCAAAGGTTCTTTTGCCCTTTTTGATGACTTTTTTTTTTAATTACCTGAGTTCATGATCCATCCATATAGCTTTATTTCAAACATTACTTTTAACCTCAGAAATTGCATCATTTCACAGATACCTTTTACAAAAAACAGATATAGCATACCAAATCCTGACATTTCTGTGCAGCTGCTTCCTTTGCTGTCAGTGGATGTTGGGGATTGTGGAGCAAGGGTGAAGTTGGGAGGAGCAGGTACCAAGCTGCCAAATCTACGACAGCCTGTTCTCTAGTAACAACCACCCATAGGTGAGCTGTTTAGACAGCTAATACTGGGGAATGTTTAAATACAAACTGAATCAGAATGATGTGAAACAGAGAAGGGCACACCAGCAACATGGCAGAGTCCTGACACAGGGAGCTTCCACTGGGCTTCTTCCATGACCCTTTGTGGGTATTTCTGGATAGCTTGCACGGTGTGTGGTTGGACCATCTCCTTTGGATCACAAGCTGGGAGGAGGGTGGGCTTGAGCTGAGTGGGAGGAGATTCCCATCCTCCTGCCAGCAGCCAGGCTGAGGAGGTGAGAAGACCTCCTGCTCTCCTGGATGTACCTGGTCTTCAAAGCGAGTGGCAGCTCTGGTAACACATGCAAGGGTACTCTGCTAGAAATGAAGAATTAGGTCAAGGAAGGTAAATAGACAAAAGTAAACATTTTTGCTGGAATATGAGTTATAGTACGTGGGAACAGGATCTGATAGATGTGGAACAGTAAGAGCTGGAGTTTTGAGTGTCAGAAGGCAGAATGCCCTTATGCACTGACCAACAGCAATTAAAAGGAGGGGTACTTGGGAACTGCTGGAGCAGCCCAGCAAGAAGGGGGGCATATGCCACCAACCCCTCTTTTCTTATCCCAAAACCATACTAGAACACTGCCCTGTCCCACTGTCTTCCATTTTCTTGGGCCTTTATGTGAGACTGGAATCTCCTGACCACTTCTGAGTGGGACACATATTTCTTTCTTCTATCTGAATGGCCAGAGGTCACTGCCACATTATCAGCTCCAGCAGGTTCACTGGAAAGCTTCCTCTGAGACAGGCAAACTGCCAAAAGAGCTCAAATTGAACAGTTCTGTGGAAGAAATAGGCCCTGGCAGCAGTTTGCAGAGGAGCACTGTGGGCTGGCCATTCTGCCTGTCCTGCTGCGTACAACTCCTGTGATGAAGAGAAAGCAGCCTGAGCTGTTCGCTGGGGGAATCACAGACATCTTCTGGAAGTGTTATTTTCACCAATGAGTGACCAGCTTATAATACAAGCTTTTCAGATAATGATCTTCTAATTAATGATTAAATAAAGTCTCTTATGTACAAAACTTGCTCTGGCTGGAGTTAGTGACACCACCCAAGCAGATCTGTCCCCAGCAGCAGGGCAGTACCCTACATATGCGCTTGGGAAGTGGCACATCTTTCTATGCTGTGTAGGATTTGTGGTTCTTGGTCTCCTGGTACTGATTTTCTGTTTCCTACTATGTTTTGGGAGGAAGGCAGAGGGAACACACATGCTGCCATCTTGTCAGTGCTTGTGTTCAGTGTACAGGTGCCTGTTGCTTTGGATACTGAATTCCCTGGGCTAAGACATCCATTCCTGTCCTCTGTCCCATATAATCACTTCTTTGTAACTACTCTTATAGTTATTCTAAGTAGTTACAAACCCTAGAAAGCAGTTTCACATCAAACTTTTACTTCCTTGGCCAAGAGGAAATACCAGCCAAGGGAAAACTTCAGTATTTCTCTATCTCTCTGAGGGGAAAAAAGGTCTTTGGAAAAATACAGTAGGTACATTAAGCCAACTTGTTATTCACAGGTCATCTCTTACTCCCCATTCTATGCTTTTCTATTCTATATAAGTGTCATGCTGTGAAATAGGCTGAAAACTTCCTGCCAGACCTTTAAACCAGCTCAGATTTGACCTGTCCTGGAAGTTGGCAGAGCTGGCACATACACAGCTGGTGTATAAACAGCACAGAATTTCCATGAGCTGGGCCGCTGGTAAAGAAGGATTCCGACAGCTGAAGAGATTGATTTTGCCTTTCCCACAGATGTACTTGCCTTGGAGTAGCGCCTGGGGGAGTGCAACTGCATGGAAAAGCAGCACGTCAGAGCAGAAATGTCATGCAGCCCAATGACTGCAGAAGATCGCGGCTCGGAGCTCGCCCGGGGGTATAAAGCTGGCTGAAGGAGCAAAAGTAGAGGCGAGCTGAGCAGGAGAAGAAGGCTGTGGAAGACAGGAGCATCCACCTGCTCCAGCTGCTCGTGTGCCGTGTTTGCAGCCTCCAAGCGCTCGGGCTGAGCGAGGGGAGAGCGGCTCTGCCCTCTTGCAAATGAGCTGTTTCCGAAACTGTTTCCGAATTGGAGGAGCAGAGCGACGTTTCAGAGATGTTGTCCTGCTTCGTCTGGCTCACCCCTCCCAGCGTAGTTAACGCCTTTGTGATCCCAGGGAAGTTGCCCCTCAATGGGAACCTGGAGAAGACTTTTGTAATCCGGAACATCTCGGGTTTCTTTTCCTGGGATAATGACAGCCTGGCCAACTGGCAGAGCTTTGTGGACAGGAGCCGGTACGGAGCAGAGTCACAGAGCATCACGGTGAAAGCCCTGCTCATTGTGGCGTACGGGCTCATCATCTTCCCTCTTTGGCAACATCCTGGTCTGTCACGTTGTCACCAAGACGAAGCGTATGCACTCTGCCACCAGCTTGTTCATTGTCAACCTGGCTGAAGCCGATATCATGATCACCCTCCTCAACACACCTTTAACATTGGTAAGACTGGGGCAGAGTTGGCAAAAAAGCACTTCCGTGGCCTTTTCCTCTTTACACTACATTAAAGCAGTGAGTGGATGTTCTGCAGATACCTGTCCACTCCAAATTACAGTCGTTGGAGTTGCCTTTGGAAAACTGCACATGTATTTTTTTTGTCTTAATTCCTGTTATCTGGTTGAAGATCTGAAATTATTCGTTTATTAAAAGTGGCCTTGATAGTACTTGAACAATAGTAACCTTGCAGTGATTACTTAGTACTTTGTACTTTCTCTTCTCTGAAGTATTTCCAAGGTAATAAATACTATAAATCTCTTGGGAAAAAAGTAAAATGCTCACCATCATTTTACAAGCTGTGTTGAAAAGCTGTAGTTTGCATTGAAGTGAAATAGGATGTACAGGTCAGTCCTACTCTGTAAGGAGGGCTTAAAAGAGCTTAAAATGTATTGACTCAATAGTTGGGCTGCAGAAGGATACACTGTGAATAAAATAGAACAAACATCTTTGGTATCATGCTGCTATATTGTCCTGGAGGATATTGCCAAGCCACTGAGCAGCAACCTGCCTCTTCAGAGTTCAGAAGGCAGAAAATTATACAACTATACAAAGAACCTGCTATCTCAAAAGTGTCTTTTACAGAGCACAAGAAATTATGTAATGGGTGTGTATCTGTAAGCAGTTGTGGGAGTGCACAAAACTAATGATCTTCTGGTTTCAGGCTCGTTTTGTGAACAGTACTTGGATATTTGGGAAGGGGATGTGCCATGTCAGTAGGTTTGTGCAGTACTGCTCCCTCCATGTCTCTGCCTTGACCCTCACAGCCATTGCTGTGGACAGGCACCAGGTGAGAGCTCTCTGAAGCCAAGACGGAAAGCTTGGGAGGGCATAAGTAAACAGAGAAAGGATGATTCCATATCTTTTCCTTCTCAGCTCCCAGGATAGGGGGACAGTTCTTGCTATCAGATGGAGAGAATAGTTTCGAGCCTGCAGCAAGGTGGGAGGTGGGAGGTATCCATTGCCTTGCGATCGCTTCCAGCAGGGTAAAGGGAGCTTCTATGTGATAGATAATCCAGTAGCTCTCAAACAAGGAGAAAGTTGAAAATTCTGTTAAAAATTCACATGGACAGCTCTCCTCCGGGGTAGTTTGTCCAGCAGCATGGCTGTAGGGACACCCCAGTTAGCTTTCTCAGCTCCATCTCCTGCTGCTCTGGGATGTCTCACCCCTTGTTACTCTGAATACTGGAGAGCTGACTGTAGCACACTGCTGTTTGTCACAAGCAGGGCTGTGGCTTGCTGTTAATAATGGGCTCAAAACTAGGGACAGTTGGGCATTATCAGTTTGGAGTCACCTCACAACTACACAAAACTGTTGACAGTTGGCATTTTCTGCTAGAAAGATTGTTTCCAGAAAATGCACCGACTGTCAGAAGCATTCCCAGGGAGGTCTGGTTAAGTCATAAGCCTTTGGTTCTTTGGGTCACTAATACTGAAGAGTCTGGGACTTTTTTTCTGCTCCTTTTTTTTTTTTCTATAAAATAAACTGAACCTGGAAATGAACATGTGTCAAGACTTGGTACAGCCGGTACCCAGTTCTTCTCATCTAGATGCAAATACTGAAATTTGAGAGTTGGACTGGGATCTCACTTGACCCATATTCATGCAGGAAAAATTCAAGTTTTTATGTACAGTTTATAGTCAATGGGAGCTGTGTGAAGACTCTACTGCATGCATGCTGAATTTCCACATTAAGTAATAGATTAAAGGCTGGAAGATTGTATGAAAAAAAAAATTATTTTTTCCTGAAGTGTAATAAGCCTGAATTTTGGTTTTATTTTGCACAGGTTATAATGCACCCACTGAAACCTCGCATATCTACTGGAAAAGGTGTTATCTACATCTCTGTAATCTGGATCATGGCAGCTTGTTTTTCCTTACCACATGCTATCTACCAAAAGCTCTTTACCTTTGAATATGGGTAAGGATGTGCTTTGCTTTCCTCCAAACTCTCCCTGGAGGCCAAACTCTCAGCGGTCTTCCTTTGGGATCTTCTATTGAAAGCCTTTGAGCATATGTCAAGGTCAGCCAAATATGGATCTAGTCTATAATTTTCATCTGGTTCTTTTTGCTGTGTCTGATATCCTGCCCTTTCCATTTTTAATTATTTTATCTTTAGTCTGTCACACTAATCAAATGAAACAGGCTAAAAGTTAAAGGGTCTGGCCTGGAACCATTACCATTATGCATTGGCATTTTACACCATATATCAATCTGACTTATTTGGGCAGACCAGACATGGGAATAAAAAAAAAAAACCTAAAACCCAACAGGGAAAGTAGAAAAATCTGCCTCTGCTGCTTGTTCCATAAAATGCTGTCAAGAGCTTTAATATTTGGAAAGCACTTTAATGAGGGAAAGGTCCCTAATATGTGCAAAGATTGTGTTGCTGTTTGCCAAAGAACAGAAAATAAAAACCTGCTTCTGTGCAGCTCGAAATTTTGTAATTGATGAAATTCATAATATTATTTTAAGGTCATAAATGCCCATGAGAAATTACCACCACATTGCTCACTGGCTGCTCTATGGCTCAGATCCTTGGACAGCAGAGCTCTGCTTAGCTCTGACAGATATCACAGATAAACAAAGGATTTGCTTCCAGGCTTTATGGCAGAGACCATAGCCAGCTCTGCTGCTGACACAGTCTGCCAGCCTTGCATCGAAGCCATGGGGCTGTGAACAGTCTGCCCCTCTGAAGGTACCTACGTAATCTAGCAGCTCTCAGAGGCTTGGCTGAGAGAGAGGTCATAACTCCATAGCCTCTGGGTCTGGTACATTAGGACTGGGTAGCTTGTTCTCTTATTTCCTGATCTTTGTGCCACCAAAGGGGGATGAGGATGGGATCCTCCCCTGCTCTCCCCATTCTGCACAGCCCAGCAGAAGGGCAGCCCCTGCTCCTTTCTGGAGGTGACAGAGTGGCCTGGGGAGAAGGTTTGAACTGGCATTAATGACACAGAAACAGGGAAATTCTTCAGCCCATTCTTTCTTCTTCTGGGAACCATGTCCCCCCTCAGCCTGTCTTCTGGTTTGCAGGATTGAAGGGATTTCTGTGAGTCCTGGTGCCGTGAAACCTCCCACCCCTTGCCTTAGGCTCAAAGCCTTTTAATGGTACTTAGAGAGGCAGGGGTGAAACCAGTCATCATTACCTCTCTGATCAGGAGAAAAACTGCCTTTATCTACAAAACAAATCAGCACCTCCTGGCCAACTGCCCATAGTTTATAAACTGGGCATGGCATTCTACTGTATGGAATATCCCTTTGGCTAGGTCAGCTGTCCCAGCCATGCTTCCTCCAGTTTCTTGTGTACCTTCTGCAGAACATGGGAAACTGAAAAGTCCTTGTCTTAGGGTAAGCACTGCTCAGGAACAACCAAAACATCAGTGGGTTATCAACATTATTCTCATACTGAGTCCAAAACTGTGCCAGCTACTAAGAAAAAAGTAACTGTATCCCAGACAAAACCAGGACACCAATTAAATAACTAAAGGCCTACAAATGATTTCTAGCTCTAAGGTGTCAACTCACTCATTTCCATAGCATGTAGGGCTAGCTCCACCTACAGCAGACCAGGTATGACTCTGGGCCCCTAAGGTCACAGGGATATGGAGATTTTAAGACATCATAATTATATTTTTTGTATGCTTTTTCAGTTAAAACTACCATAATGTGACAGGTTGGTTAGAGGTCACCAGTTTTTAATAGTATGAAGCTAAAGATGTATCAGATGTCCTAAAAGCATGCCATCAGAGTCTGAAGGTACAAAACTTAGTGGGGTTTGTTGGCAGGATATGTGGTAGGAACCAGCTTGTTATGGTCACATCCCTACTGCCTCCTGGGAGCTGCTCTAGAAGTGAACTGTTCCCAGTGCCTTGCCCAGAATTTGTTTTGAAGAAGCCCAAGACAGGGCTCAGGAATGATCTGACACTTGAACAATGTGGACAGCAGACACTAAACCCTTCAGTTGGGTCCCTGGTATTTCTGTTTGGCACTGCAAACACATTCCTAAACGTCAAACAGACAAGCAGCTTGAGGCTCTGTTTCTCATCCTGCAGTTCAGACTCCCAGCACAGATGTGCTGTTCTGAACTATGCAACAGAATGTATTTCTATCATTCCAATTTAGCACAAATAAGAAGGAAAAAGCAAACAAAACCACAATTCTTTTGTTGCTGGTTGAGAAATTTCATTTCTGTTACTTTAGGTTCATGAAGTTTGTAAGTGTGCAAGAGCTAAAGCATTTCAAAATGTAGCACAGACAGAGTGAGCCCAGGCTATTTTCATCCCCGGACTGGTTACCCATTCAAATGCTTTCAAAGGCACCTACCACTTTCCCTGGACTTTGTGGGGAAGCAAGAATGTGACTTAAGAGGACTAATTCAGCAGGTCCCTGAGTTGGATGGGAGTTCATTTGTAGGCAAGGAATTTCGTTTGCATGAAGGTGTTTGGTTAATCTCAATGGTTATAGAAAGTTTGGGGTGACTTATCAAAAAATCTGAATAAGCAAAAGAGAGGATGTCAACTTTACCATCTAAAAAGATTAAATAGTCTTATAATGGGAGTTCTGTGTCACAGTCCTTCAGGAGAGAGTTGATAACATGAAAATGTTTTGAAGCAAATAAATATTTGAATACTTAATGACATAAAGCCATAATAGATTTACTATTTTCATTACATTGTCACTTCAGAAATATATTTTTTAGTGGTTAATAAAAGTAACTACTTTTTATCATTATACTAGTAATTTAGTATATTAAGTCAAATATTCCATTATGAGGAAAACGCTCTTCCAGAGCTTCTAGCCATGCAGCCCGCAGGACAGAAACCCACAAATTATCCCTAACATACAGCTAGATTTTGATTTGTGCCACTCTTATGTGGTCTGTGCAAAGTGGTGCTCAAAGAAAAGATTTCTGAAAAAGTTTACTCCAACGACACAGCTCTGATTCCTTCCCCCTTCTGTGACAAACTCATCTCTTTTTTACTGAACTATCCCACTGACATGGCTACTGGGACACAATCTGTTATTTGTCTTTCAGCAGTATTTTATTCATCCAGCAGCTCCCCTTTTTTCTGTGAATCAGGGATTATTTTGCAAACAGGGGTGTGCAGGAAGCCAGCGTGCCGGGCTGTGTGCAGTGCTGCTCCATGAGCTGTTGGATGCAATATGGTCATGTTGCAAAAGGGTGATAAAGGACAGAGCAGTCAGAGACTAGTGATCCAGCTCAGTCCCCCATGTTCATATGACACAGCATTCCTGTATTCCCACATACACCTCTATGTTCCTACAGGATCTCCCAGCTCATGGGCAAGGTGGTGGGGCTGAGCTGCCTCACTCTGGGCTTTACAGATGTCCCTTCTAGAGCAGGTGGCTGTACATGGCTTCAATGACATTCTCCCTTCAGGCAATCTAAAAATCCAACCAGTATTCAGCATCATAAAACCAGCTTACATTTCTTAATGGGAACTCATCAAAGAATAATGAATTATGAGCTTCCTGTGGGCTGTGCACACTGTGGAGGAAGTTCAGCTAATTAGTCCATAGGGCACAATAATTTATTTTGATTATTCATATCAGCGACATGACATTCATTATTGAAAAATAAAGTTTTACCCAAGTGGCTTCCTTCTTCCAAAGCTTTAACTCAGATAGACAGAAGCCACCATAGACAGCAGACAGTGGTGGTGGTGGAGGTGGGGATTAAATCCTTCCTAGCACCTCCATCTTCAAAAAACCACTCATGACCTTATTTCTGTCTTCCTGTTCACAAAGTGCAGCCAGGACATCCTTTGTTCGTAGGCTCTTTTAATGCTCATTTAATGGGGCTCTAGGCTTGGGCACTAAACTAGTCATCAAAGCTCCTACTAAAACTACACCCACTGTTCCCAGTAAGTAAAAAAAAAAAAGGCCTAAAATATACTCTTTATTCTAAAAGTGACTGGCAACATCCACAGGAGGAAAAACAGCAGGATACAGTTGCTTTTAGAGGCACACCATCTGCTAACGAAATAAACATTTTTACTGTCTCTCTGCATTTTAAATCACAAGTTTTAAATCACAAGTTTTAAATCTCACAAGGAAGCTAAGAGCCATTATAAGGCAAAGAGCATGCAGAGGCGCTAGTTGCAACTTTCTTGCATTTGGAGGACTATTAATATCCAAGTGATGGAGAGATAAGGGTCAAAAAAGGATGGCATGGACCAAAGCTGAATCTTAACATTGCCATTTTACTTTCTGGCATATTTACAACAGGACAGATGCATGTAGCTGTTTCTAGAAAAAGTGTAGTGACAAAGAGGCTGAAGATGGACTCCTTTCCTTAAGACCTAGATTGGAATTAAGCCCAGCTTTTGAAAATGGCAAAACACAGCAGGCATAGGGCCACTAAAATGTAACCAGAATTGAGCTATGCAGTTCAGAAACACATCTGAAAACAGAAAGATACAGCTGAAAAGTGCAATGCTGAAACTGTGGCCAATTATTAGACAGTAACTCACACAATGGGTAATCTATTTATCATGTGCTGACATTTTCTCAATAGTTTTTAAAGGTTAAATAGATTTTGAACCCATTCATGTTGCTCTGACAATTTTATGAGAATACAGAATTTTAACTACTGTCCAAATGTTTGCTCAGGTTTTAGCATCAGATCACATGTTTTGTACTACATGTTTTCAGATGGTGACACATGACTGTTCCTGGAACCTTCAGTCACTTATGCTGCTGTAGTTCACAGAACTGATTTATTTAAATAACCAAGGAGAATTTATATGTATTTTATTGAGCACTTTAGGAGACAACAAGAGATTCACTGCAGCAAGTCATATTTTTAAATACAAAAGGGGAATTAGTAAAAAGTTAAGTACATATCCAACTTGAAACATGAACACATGGCTTTCAGGAGCTTTGAATTTTAAAGACTGAGAACTCTACTTACATCGAACAGTTCAAATACATCCACATCACAAAATCTTATTATTGCACTATAGCTCCTTGTCCAAAACACACAATGCACAACGTGCACTTGC